GGCACAGACATAATTTGTAGCGGCGGTGATTCCCATAAGCATCCCTAGATTAAGTAGCGTTAACAATGAATGTGAAGGTGGTAACTTGGGGTAAGTATGAGCGAGTGGTGTGAGAGGTGTAATTCACTCCCCGGTTCTTCTTGTATGTCCATGATGAAGAATGATCACCTCTGTCCTTACTTTATTCACAACATGAAGCACAAGGTCACTTCCAACACACAACATGAAGCACAAAGTCACTTCCAACACACGACATGAAGCACAAGGTCACTTCCAACACACAACATGAAGCACAAAGTCGCTTCCAACACACGACATGAAGCACAAAGTCGCTTCCAACACACAACATGAAGCACAAGGTCACTTCCAACACACAACATGAAGCACAAAGTCACTTCCAACACACAACATGAAGCACAAAGTCACTTCCAACACACGACATGAAGCACAAAGTCACTTCCAACACACATGAGGCACAAAGTCACTTCCAACACACAACATGAAGCACAAAGTCACTTCCAACACACAACATGAAGCACAAGGTCACTTCCAACACACAACATGAAGCACAAAGTCGCTTCCAACACACAACATGAAGCACAAAGTCACTTCCAACACACGACATGAAGCACAAGGTCACTTCCAACACACAACATGAAGCACAAAGTCGCTTCCAACACGACATGAAGCACAAAGTCGCTTCCAACACACAACATGAAGCACAAGGTCACTTCCAACACACAACATGAAGCACAAAGTCACTTCCAACACACAACATGAAGCACAAAGTCACTTCCAACACACGACATGAAGCACAAAGTCACTTCCAACACACATGAGGCACAAAGTCACTTCCAACACACAACATGAAGCACAAAGTCACTTCCAACACACAACATGAGGCACAAGGTCACTTCCAACATACAACATGAAGCACAAAGTCACTTCCAACACACAACATGAAGCACAAAGTCGCTTCCAACACACAACATGAAGCACAAAGTCGCTTCCAACACAACATGAAGCACAAAGTCACTTCCAACACACAACATGAAGCACAAAGTCACTTCCAACACACGACATGAAGCACAAAGTCACTTCCTACACACAACATGAGGCACAAAGTCACTTCCAACACACATGAAGCACAAAGTCACTTCCAACACACGACATGAAGCACAAGGTCACTTCCAACACACAACATGAAGCACAAAGTCGCTTCCAACACACAACATGAAGCACAAAGTCGCTTCCAACACACAACATGAAGCATAAAGTCACTTCCAACACACAACATGAGGCACAAGGTCACTTCCAACATACAACATGAAGCACAAAGTCACTTCCAACACACAACATGAAGCACAAAGTCGCTTCCAACACACAACATGAAGCACAAAGTCAATTCCAACATACAAATGAAGCACAAGTCAATTCCAACACACAACATGAAGCACAAAGTCAATTCCAACACACAACATGAAGCACAAAGTCAATTCCAACACACAACATGAAGCACAAAGTCAATTCCAACACACAACATGAAGCACAAAGTCAATTCCCAAAACACAACATGAAGCACAAAGTCAATTCCAACACACAACATGAAGCACAAAGTCAATTCCAACACACAACATGAAGCACAAAGTCCCAAATTTCCAACACGCAACATGAAGCACAAAGTCAATTCCAACACACAACATGAAGCACAAAGTCAATTCCAACACAGAACATGAAGCACAAAGTCAATTCCAACACAGAACATGAAGCACAAAGTCACTTCCAACATACAACATGAAGCACAAAGTCACTTCCAACATACAACATGAATCACAAAGTCAATTCCAACACGCAACATGAAGCACAAAGTCAATTCCAACACACAACATGAAACACAAAGTCACTTCCAACACACAACATGAAGCACAAAGTCACTTCCAACACGCAATACGAAACAAAATAACATTACAACAAAGTAAGCCTTTATTTACATAGTTTTCGTTCAAGGCTATATTTACACGTCTCTCCCAATGGTGAGTTTCCTCGTAACGCTACTGAAGGGCTCTTGATCCGTCTAAGTAGTCTCCCTTTTCTTGGATCATACCTAACTGTCCTCCATTTCTCAATATTACCTCGTAAATTTAACAAAGAAGCTATTTTCTAATTGGGCTTTCCACTTGCCATATAATACTATCATAATTATTATATTCAGAGGAAAGCACTAAACCCATAGGGATCGTGCAGCTCCTGGGGAGCAGGAAGATATCATTTTGATCCGAAAGGGAGGGGTTCCTCCACTTCATCGGATCAAGAGTTTTTCACCAGCACCAACAGCTCTCGTGAGGGTACACGGTGAGTGGTAAACAACTGAGTTAGACCCCAGGGAGGGGGGGTCAGGTGGTCACTTTCCCATACTTCAAGGTGGATCCCTCTCCTTATCTCTCACCTGCTGCTTTTTCTACTACTCTCTCATGGTACAAGTACAGGTATAATAATACCAACAAAATGAGAAATAAATTCAAAACATAAGATATTAAATTTGGAGACGTTTCGCCTACTGGGAGCTTTGTTTTTTTCTAATCCAATACAGAAAATAGACTGAATGAAGATACCCAAATGTTACCATTTGGGTATCTTTATTCTGGAGACGTTTCGCCAGCCAGCGGCTGGGGGTAGGATGCTAAAAAAAAAAAATTGGAAATATGATCTAGGCAGCGACGTATCTACTTATTCTCCTTGACGACCAACTTGGTGTCTTACCATCTCGTCAAGGACCCCAATGAATTCCTATGCATTACGCAAGTGTTATTTACATTGTTTCTGTTACTTGCATATTTTTGTTCACTAAGATCCTGGTTCAAGCGTCTGACTGTCTTGCCAACTTATCCCTTATCATATACCCGCATGGGATAACATGCACACCAGCACTGATCTCGACAATCGTAGCTGGTCTCGCTAACATACTCATATCCCCGCATGGGACAACATACATATCTGCACTGGTATGGACAATCCTAGTTGTCTCTTCTTAACTAAACCCCACACTCGCGTTTGGCTCGCTCGCCAACTGGAAGAGTGATATACCTACTGGGTAACGGTATACCCATCTTTTACAGTCAGACGTTAATTATGGGAAAAACTGAAGGTGTGTGAATATTTGGATGATGTGATCACATATCATAACATCCCTCTTCGACGAACTGTGAGGTGCAACTCCTAAGCACTCGAGGCAAAAACCCAATGACGTCACATCTTGTTGTCAGCCTATCATGGTGCGAGTAAAAACGCCGCAAGTCATCCTTGTAGTAAGTTTCCAGTATATTTTAAGATGAATTTGTCCCCACCTGTGCCTAGTATGATATCAAAGTTGATCCCTTTCTTCCTTAAAAGTAAATGTGGCACTTGGTTCTACGCTGCACACACAAATCACTGCCATCGAAAGTAAAAGACTGGGCAGGCGATGCAAAATGCCCCCAATAAAAAGTAGGGGCGCCATTGGTACACCAAGGGAAAACACCATAAGTGTCCGGGGCCCAAGACTGTTCAACAGCCTCCCATCAAGCATTAGGGGAATTGCCAATAAACCCCTGGCTGCCTTCAAGAGAGAGCTGGACAGATACCTAAAGTCAGTGCCGGATCAGCCGGGCTGTGGCTCGTACGTCGGACTGCGTGCGGTCAGCAGTAACAGCCTAGTTGATTAGGCCCTGATCCATCGGGAGGCCTGGTCATGGAACGGGCCGCGGGGGCGTTGATCCCCGGAATAACCTCCAGGTATGACAAGAATATCGTCCGTATAACGTAGCTGTAAAATTTTTCTGGTGATAATGGGTAGCATGTGCTCCGTTTCTAAATGTTCCATATATACGTAAGAATAACTGTTGAAAAAGCATACATATATATATGTCGTGCCAAACAGGTAAAACTTGCGATTTTGGTTTAAATAACAACGCTCTTCTTGCTGAATAAGGCAAGCGAAAATTTGTGTGCAATAATTTCTCAGGAATCATTCTGAACCTAACGAACCTACCCAAGTAAAAGGTTTTATAGCCTCTTACACATGTGCAAGTTCATTGTTCTACCATTTTGTATTGTTACTACTACAAGTAAGATTACTACTACTACTACTACTACTACTACTACCACTAGTATTACACCACACTCTGAGCCTAGATATACCCTCTGTGTCCATGTATTGTCTGTAACAGCTTGATAAAGCTCATGGAGGGCGAAACGTTGCAATAATAAAATGTCACATTAGTTGCACTTGTGTCCTTTTACCTAATATTGTCGGTAATTCTACCAACATTAATACAAAATATATTTTATTATGCTTGTTTATTATTAAATTATTGTAAACTTATCTAAAATATATTTAGTTGGATTAGGCTAAAATAAATTGCGCTTGTTATAATAGTTAGGTAAGTTTTCTAAGGTGCTTTTGTTGCAAAATTATTAATTTTTACATTAACATAATGAAAAAATATATATTTAAATGTATATGAGAAAATTTTAACTTACAAATGAAAAGAAATATAATAATAAAATATATATTTTTAAACATATAAGAAAATTTTTTCTTTTATACGTTTAAAGATATATATTTTTTCAATTATGTTAAAGAAAAAATTAATAATTTCATACCAAAAGAACCTTAGAAAACTTACCTAATCTTGTTACAACAAGAGCAATTTAATTTAGCCTAATCCAACTAAATATATTTTACTTTTCGACGACATTTCGGTCTGTCGTGAACCATTATTCAATCACGAGCTGATAACAGCCCTGGATGGATGGAAGTCTAGCCTAACTTTGTTTCCAAATTATGGGTTAGTACTTGTGAATTGTTGAAGCCACAGTACTGTAACTTTTATTCTTAAACACACACACACAATTGACAGAATCAATGATATAAACACAAAGACATGATGCCATAACCATTAATACAAGATGTTTAGAATAGTAAGCCTTGTTCAGGTAATAATATATTGGTGTATTTGCAGGATGTTGTGCTGGTTGTTGATGTGTGTGACTGCGTGTGTGGTGGGAGGAGCCAGGGGGCAGGTCCCGGACCCCCGCCCGGACCCATCTCTATATAACGTTGGTGTTGGCATACACGATGCTACAGGTCCTGCTGCAGGAGTTAATATGGTATAGTATCGCTCTATTTATTATATCTACATCATCTATCATTATCACAAGTCATTACTAATATTATTCCGTAAGGGTACCTCTGTCTGGTTGACGTTTTTTCTTCCTCTTAGGGTTCTATTTATAATTTAAGAATAATTCATTCGATTGGCTTTAAATTTTCAGTGGTGATGCATTGTAACACCGGAAAGGTTCATGCAAATATTGGTACATCCAGGTGCCTTGAAGGCAGTTTTATACAGACCATTCCTCAGTTTGGTTTCCGTGCGATAACTTGAGAAAGTCACTTCTGATCGGCTTCAAACTTTTAACGATGATGTATTCTACGTAGAAGACTGAGTGTTATCGGAACGTGTAGGTGCTAGTTTTCCTATTTCATTTTTTAAATATGTATTTTTGTGAAAATAACCTGATTGTACCTCTCTCAACAGCTTCAATGTTTAATGGTGGATACATCTTATGAAAATGACGATACTTTTTGGATTTAGGCAATAGAAATGCAAAATTTTCAATTTACTAACATAGTTAATAAATTAGTAATCATTGGATTCTGTGCAATAAATGGAGAATGCGTCAGCTTCAAATTTTTTTGTGACATTGTTTTTCTTAAACGAACTTTGCACTGATTTTGTAAGTTTTAATTTACCAATTTTATTTTAGATATTAGTTTCCATATAATCACCGAAGAATGCCTCATGCGATGGGCTCAGGGGCTTGCGGATCTTACCTACAGGAAGATTCCAATTGACTCACGAAATCGTAATGACACGATTGCAAACAAACCATACCCCGGCCGGGATTGAACCCGCGGTCATAGAGTCTCAAAACTCCAGCCCATCGTGTTAGCCACTAGACCAGCTAGCCACAATAAGATTCGTCCAACTAGGTATATTTCTACACCATAGGAAGGTTAGCACAGGCACCACTGTGACCACAAATGCAAGTTTTTACAGACGAATCTCCAGCTAGCGTGGCCGTGACAAACTCTAGCTCAAGCCCTTCACTGCCGTCAACATGACTCACGAAATCGTAATGACACGATTGCAAACAAACCATACCCCGGCCGGGATTGAACCCGCGGTCATAGTCTCAAAACTCCAGCCCGTCGCGTTAGCCACTAGACCAGCTAGCCACAATAAGATTCGTCCAACTAGGTATATTTCTACACCATAGGAAGGTTAGCACAGGCACCACTGTGACCACAAATGCAAGTTTTTACAGACGAATCTCCAGCTAGCGTGGCCGTGACGAACTCTAGCTCAAGTCCCTTCACTGCCGTCAACATGACTCACGAAATCGTAATGACACGATTGCAAACAAACCATACCCCGGCCGGGATTGAACCCGCGGTCATAGAGTCTCAAATCTCCAGCCCGTCGCGTTAGCTAGTTGGACGAATCTTATTGTGGCTAGCTGGTCTAGTGGCTAACACGACGGGCTGGAGTTTTGAGACTCTATGACCGCGGGTTCAATCCCGGCCGGGGTATGGTTTGGTAAGATTCCAATTGGTTTTGAGGTGTGCGAGTACAAATTTGCCAATTTTTTAGTGAAGAAATTTATATATTAGTTTCTATGTGATAACTTGTGAATTACTTATGAATGCCTCTTATGATTGGCTTCAAATCTTCAGTGGTGACATTTAACCGCATTAGAAACTTATGCCTCACTCGACACGTCTCCTTTTGAGTGCAGCGAGGTGAAAGGTGTTGGGCTTATGGGATACGAGGATACCCTTCTAGGATATTGTCTACGATACCCGTAAGGATATCAACATTTTATCCTAGGAATCCCTATGTACATACTGACTCACTGACCCGTGCGAGTCATTCAGTGCATATACTGGATACTCAATCACCCCTACTCAAGGAACGGGCTCTATCAAGGAGGTTGTTGATAAGTTAACCTCTTTTAAAAGAGATATTCAGCATCAGGAAAGCTTTTCCTTCATATCCCCATAGCCATTAAATAATAACTACTAGTGGCTTTCTTCGTACTTAACATTTCATAAAATGTAAATAACACATTGAAACCTTTGCAAAGAAATAAAAATTTGTATTTATTTATGCCACATTAACGCTAACGCAAGACTGCCTCTGATGCTCAGATGTTTTCTTTTTCACTCAGTTCCTGCATTTTAAATTCAATACGTTATCATCCTGCCTTACCACACTTCAAGACCTACCCATGGCAATATCTTTATGGTATAGTATACCACATAGCAGGCTGCTACCACAACAGTCGACTAACAAAACAGGTAATTATAACATAAGAACACCAGAAGGGAGGAACTTATTTGCCCGTGTTAGTCTATAAATGGTATACAAATTACGACAGATTTTATGCAAAAAGACAACTACAGTTTCAGGAAACTTTATTAAACACGTGTCATATGTACAGTTGAAACCTTCGTCGTCAATAGTTTCATAAAACTGCATTGTATATTTTGTCATAGTATAACCAAGTATTTACTTCGAGTTGTGAATCGAGCTCTCTGAGCCCTGACCTACAAGTCAAGGTTTTTATCGTACCTAGTGCTACACGCTGGACAGGTACACGAATGTGTGCGTGGGTATTAGTTAGACCTGCAGAACACGGGCTGGTAGACTTCGTCGGTTTTTGTAAACCTTTAATATATAATATTCATGTGTGTCTAGGGCGCCTCCACTTATATTGAGAGCAATAAATATTGAATCTGGGTATCAGTCGATCTAAGAAAACCTGGCAAATACCTGTAAAGTACTTGAGGGCATTGTCCCAAATCTGCACACTGTCATAACAACGTACTAGAGTAAGATATATGGGAGAAAGTGCCAAAATTAACCCAGTGAAAAGCAAAGGCACCGTGGGCACAATAAGAGAATAGTATGTCAACATCCGTGGCCTCAGACTATTCAAGATCTTACCTGAAGATATCATAAACACTGCTGGGACAAGTGCTGAAGTATTTCAAGAGGAAACTGAACAAGTATCTCTACCAGGTGCCAGATCAACCAGGCTGTGATATATATGTGGTAGAGGAGGCCGCCAGCAGTAACAGCCTGGTTGACCATGCAAACACCAGACAACCCTGGCTCAAGACCAGAGTCCAGAAATGGGAAAACTCTCGAAACTCATCAAAGGTACAAAGATAATACCAAAAACAAATAGGAGAACGATTTATTCAACTGTTGGGTGAAAGTTATTCGGTCACTGCTTCGTGTCTAATGTAATAAAAACGTATAGGACTATAAACGTCATCTTGACACTTGTAAATTACCTAAACCAGCTCCAAGAAAAGGACTTCCAGGGTTTACTCGAAAGGGTTTATGATTACACCGAGTGTCATGGCGTTGCTAGGGTTGGTGTCACTATCCGAGGTGGCATCTTTGGTGTCACCCCCATGAAGTCCAAGGGTGAGGGGATGGGGGGATTAAACTCCATTTACGTCACCACTGCATGACATAAGAACATAAGAACGAAGGAACACTGCAGAAGGCCTACTGGCCCATGCGAGGCAGGTCAAGTCTCCTACCGGCTTAAGCCAATGCACCCAACCTAGTCAGGTCAGGTCACATTGACTTAAGGGAGGAACACGGCAACCGACCTGGTAGCACAAGCTATCAGGCCCAACTCACACCCACCCACATCCACTCATGTATTTATCCAACCTATTTTTAAAGCTACACAACGTTCTGGCCTCTATAACTGTACTCGGGAGTTTGTTCCACTCATCCACAACTCTATTACCAAACCAGTACTTTCCTATATCCTTCCTGAATCTGAATTTTTCCAACTTAAAACCATTGCTGCGAGTCCTGTCTAGGCTAGATATTTTCAGCACACTATTTACATCCCCTTTATTTATTCCTGTCTTCCATTTATACACCTCAATCATATCCCCCCTAATTCTACGTCTTTCTAGAGAGTGCAGATTCAGGGCCCTTAGTCTATCCTCATAGGGAAGGTTTCTGATACATGGGATCAACTTTGTCATCCTCCTTTGTACATTTTCCAGAGAATTTATATCCATTCTGTAATACGGTGACCAAAACTGTGCAGCATAATCTAAATGAGGCCTAACCAAAGATGTATAGAGTTGAAGAACAACCTGAGGACTCCTATTATTTATGCTTCTTGATATGAAGCCAAGGATTCTATTAGCTTTATTGCGAACACTTATGCACTTTTGTCTTGGTTTCAGATTACTGCTAACCAGAACTCCTAAATCTTTTTCGCAATCCGTAATATTAAGATCTACATTATTTAGTTTATATGTGGCATGGTTATTGTCCTGTCCAACATTTAGAACTTTGCATTTGTCTATATTAAACTGCATCTGCCACTTCTCCGACCACTGCATCAGTCTATTCAAATCTTCCTGGAGTGCTCGAATGTCCTCGTCAGAATGAATTCGACGGCCTATTTTGGTGTCATCGGCAAACTTGCCGATGTCGCTCTTTATGCCCTCATCTATGTCGTTTATGTAGATTGTGAACAGCAGGGGGCCCAACACTGACCCCTGTGGAACACCGCTCGTGACGCTTCCCCACTCTGATTTCTCCCCATTTATGCAAACTCTCTGCTGCCTATTAGTCAACCATGCCTCTATCCAGGAAAAAATTTCTCCTCCTATTCCATGTGCTTTAATTTTCCTCAATAGTCTCTGATGTGGGACCCTGTCAAAAGCCTTACTGAAGTCCATATACACAATATCATATTCATTACCATGATCTACCTCCTCAAATACCTTAGTGAAAAAAGTTAATAAATTCGTAAGGCAGGAACGCCCCTTTGTAAAACCATGCTGAGATTCGTTGATTAATTTATGCTTTTCAAGGTGGCTACGAACTGCCTCGGCAATTATTGATTCCATAAATTTTCCCACTATGGAGGTTAGGCTTATTGGTCTATAGTTCGAAGCTAAGGACCTGTCACCTGTTTTGAAAATAGGTATCACATTTGCCATTTTCCACTTATCTGGCACCATGCCAGTTTGTAGTGATATGTTGAAAAGATTAGCCAAAGGTGTGCTAAGCTCCTCTTTACATTCCTTTAGAACCCTTGCATACAGTTCATCAGGGCCTGGGGATTTGTTAGGTTTTAATTTATCTATTTGCCTAAGGACCATGTCACTTGTGACCCTAATCGTGCACAGTTTATTATCGTCCTGTTCTACATAATTTATCATTACTGGAATATCGCTGGTATCCTCCTGTGTAAAAACTGAGAGGAAGTATGTGTTAAAAATTCTACACATTTCCTTATCACTGTCAGTGAGCTGACCCGAGGAACTTTTGAGTGGGCCTATCTTGTCCCTGGTCTTACTTCTGTATACCTGAAAGAATCCTTTTGGGTTAGTCTTCGATTGTCTTGCAACTTTAACCTCATAATCTCTTTTTGCTTTTCTAATTCCCTTTTTTATTTCTCTCTTTAACTGAATATATCGATTTCTTAATTGCCCCTCTCCTCTTTTGATTTGCCTATATATGCCTCTCTTTTGACCAATCAGATATTTTAATCTATTGTTCATCCATTTAGGATCATTTTTGTTTGATCTGATTTCCCTATTTGGAACATAATTTGACTGAGCAGCTAGAACTATGCCCTGGAAAGCATCATATCGGCAACCATCACCACCTACCTGACCCTTAGTCAGGTCATTCCAGTTCAGCCCACCTAAGTAATTTTTCAGTCCTATGAAATCAGCCAAGCGAAAGTCGAAGATTGAGACACTTATGCAGCATATGGGAATCTTTATTCAGGAAACGTTTCGCCACACAGTGGCTTCATCAGTCCAATACAAAGAGGAAGGCGTAAGGAGAGGAGGAGAATGAGGTAATCAGTCCCTCAACCTGGAGTCGATGTGTTCAGAACACCAATCTTGTAGAATGTACAGCATAGGGCCGTAGACGTGGCTTATATACTGTAGTGAGGTGAGGTGAAGCAGGCGGAGGCGGGGTCATAGTGGTACCATCCACTAGTCGAAGTAGGTCTTCGTCCAAAGGTTGAACAAGTGTTGAAGAATTCTTTGTAACAAGATCCCATGATGCTGCTGTGTCTGACAGTTGTGATGAATGGTTTGAAAAACCGACAAGTTGAAGATTGAGACACTTATGCAGCATATGGGAATCTTTATTCAGGAAACGTTTCGCCACACAGTGGCTTCATCAGTCCAATACAAAGAGGAAGGCGTAAGGAGAGGAGGAGAATGAGGTAATCAGTCCCTCAACCTGGAGTCGATGTGTTCAGAACATCAATCTTGTAGAATGTACAGCATAGGGCCGTAGACGTGGCTTATATACTGTAGTGAGGTGAGGTGAAGCAGGCGGAGGCGGGGTCATAGTGGTACCATCCACTAGTCGAAGTAGGTCTTCGTCCAAAGGTTGAACAAGTGTTGAAGAATTCTTTGTACCCAAGAGTTGCACATGTGTCTAATTTATCAACATGTCGGTTCTCTGAACCATTCATCTACGAATCTGATCTTACATTTCCTTGCCTTCAATCCTGCAAAATCATGTATCACATCATCAAAATTAATTATTTTTCCTATATAGGCCTATTTGTACTCTGTAATCATATAATAGGCTATATAGAAACGAAGGATTTTTTTCTTATGTTGCTGCAACACTGTTTTGTGCATTAGTGTCACCTTCTTTAGAGGCTCTATGGTGTCACCCCCTAAATAGTGTCGCCTGGGGCGGCCCGCCGCCCCCCCCCCCCTGTTACGACGCCACTGCCCAGTGTCACCCAAGAAATATTGCTTATTTCCACTTGGGTCCTCAGACCCTTCTCTAGGATGCAGTCCGCAGAAGACAACCAATACGCAGGATCTAGGTAAACAAAGGTAATATGTTTGGGAGACATGCCGCCCATACTCCCCACTTCGCCCAAGACTTAATCTGGTTGTAAGCTGAACGCTGTACCATCTTAGAATTACGATTCTCCTCAGGATCCCGGAACTTTCGCGAACATGGATATTACAGCATTTATCTACCCCACAATGAACAGTGGCTAGTTAATCGTCCAAGTCGGACCAAAACGTCGTCATAAGTTTGTCTCCTATGTGAGGGTTATTTGTGTATGATTTAACCATGGATAGCCTAACAAAGCCGATATATTACAGATATATTTTAATTGGATATCCATTTGTAATGATAGTTTTACTAAATAAAAAAAAATAAATCTTTCTATGAACGATATTAAATGTTAAGCAATTCGAGGCAAACACATTATAATATAATCATGAGGGAGCGCTAAACCCGTAGGATTATACAGCGCATGTGGGGGGAATAGAAGGTATTCAAGCTCAATTCAAGAAACCGGAGCACAGATCCAATTCCCCAGATGAAGAGCCCCTCATCAACGTCAAGGAACCTCCCTTGAGCGGGTCGAGGTAAACACAATATATCATAGTCCACCCTTAAAATAAGCTAAATAACAGAAAAATGCAGCAATTTTCTATCAAAAGAAAACGAACAAAATGCCAGATATAGCGTAGACTAAAGAGATTCATACCATTGAGAGTAATGCCATGACAGTAGAGAGCTCCTGATCCAAGGAACTGGAACTACCCTCTATTTCCTTGGCTCGAGTTCGGTTGCCCCTGTTTCCCCATGAAAAAATAATAAATAAAAGGAGGTGGAGTACACGGGAATAACTGATAAAGATTTTTGGACAATACTAAGCTTCAGCTCGAGGAACGGCCAAGACCCTATCTGTACAGACGAGGTCAGGAGACTGAGAGGATAAGAAGACTAAGCAGGAGAAAAGGAGACTGAGAGGATAAGAAGACTAAGCAGGAGAAAAGTAAGAGATAAAATAACGATGGAGGAAACTATGTCAGTTAGAAGAACGAAGTGGATAACATGCAGTGCCCAAGTGTAAACACACATGCTAATTGGTCTGCAAATTCTACGTTGGTTGAGTTTTACTGTATGCCATCATCAAAGTCCTTAAAGCAGTCTTTCTCACATCCAATTCTTCTCACTTACATATTTGTTCAATCTATTTTTGAAGTTACCCAAAATACAAGCTTCGTTCACTCTGCTTCGCAGATCGTTCCCCTCATCTACAATTCCATTTCCAAACCAGTACTTTCATATATTATCACAAGCTCTGAATTTTATCCTGATTTAATGCACTGTTTAATCTATTTATTTTTTGGTTGAATGTCCTCAGCACTATGTTATATATTTTTTATACATACGTTTCTTTTATTTTAATCATACCTCCCCTAATTTTACATATTTTAAAAGAGTACAGGTTCAGTGCTTTTAAGCTCTCTTTGTGTGAAGGATTCCTTATAAAACAGATTAATTTTGTCACTCATCTCTGTATGTCCTCTAATGGGTTTACAATATTTCCAGGGTTTACAATACAATATTTTCATTCTATTGTAGGGAGACTAGAGTAAATGAGGCTTTGCTAATGATGTGTAGAATATCTTTTAAACTGTTGTTTATACTTACTGATATAGATCTAAGTCAACGTACACATGTATAAAACACTACAGATCTGCTGGGAATACTAGAATCGACTGGTAGGCCTTACACTAACAAAGTGTCTTGGGTTGTGTTGCAGATGGGCTACGCCAACCCAGCACAAATCAACAGTGGGATCCACATGAGGCTGTTCTCTCGAGCATTCATCATCGACGACACTCAGAGACGTGTGGTCTTCGTTAGCCTCGACTGTGGTATGATGGCTTCTATTATCAAGATAAAGGTAAGCTATTTCAAACCTCTCAAGATCAGTGTGACTCATATATTAAGGTAAGCTACTTTAAAATTCTCTACATTTTTTGTCATTCAATTTCTTCAATATGACATACAAATGCCTCAATGTTAATCAAATTCCTTAAAAATTTTGACACAGCTTAGCAAGAATCAAGGTAAGTCACAAAACTGATAAATAATTCACGAAGAGGAATTACCTGGAGTTTACCTGGAGAGAGTTCCGGGGGTCAACGCCCCCGGGGCCCGGTCTGTGACCAGAATTGCAGAATGAATCAAAATAAAATTTCAGTATTAGTAAAACAACTGATTTTAAGAATAAATTTTTGAGAGGTAAGGTCAGTAAAATTGACCTTCCACAGCTCACCACGGACACACCCGTCATTTTAAATTCCTTGAGAATATTTGTCTGTCTTGCTGACGGATCATCTAAAAATTCTGTGAGATGATTTTTTTTAACTCTGTAACCTCACAAATAAATCAGGGTAGCTGCATTGTATTGTTAATAAGTTAGAGAATAAAATTATTTTTTTGGCAACTGCGGAAACGTAACAAACTATGTAAACAAGACGTCATGTGGGATCCAACCCGGGATAGACAGTACGTCATGTGGGATCCAACCCGGGATAGACAGTACGTCATGTGGGATCTAACCCGGGATAGACAGTTGGCATCCTCGTACCTGTATCCCCGCACCAAGGTGCTATAAGTATTGAAACGAGTATTTTTGCTGTTGCAACTAATTACTCGGCTCCACACGGATTTTGGAGTAAAAGCTTAATTCATAAGCCCTACGTCAATGTCAGGAAAAACAAATTATATTTTCGTAAGTGATGCGATGGCAAACACGGGTTAAAAACCCATTTGACACCTCTGCAAAAGTTCTTTCGTTTTCGAGTGTAAAATTTCAGTTATCATTGAGAGTTTTCATTTACACTACAACACACATCCAGTGCATATTTAAGGAAGTTTCCAAAAACAGAGGGAATTTTTTCTTAAAACGCTATATACCATAACCAAAGCTACTTTGTACTCTTTAATCTACCCTTGCCTCACCTAAGAATCTATAACAGCTAATTATCTAAAACCAGTCATAAAACAACAAAAATCTACCATTAGTAGAGCCACTTAATCTTCCAGACAACATCTCCCTCTCTGCACTACTCGAATATTTGTACCTAATTAACATACGAAGTATCCACACGTATTAATATGCAGATTACATTTACAGAACACTCAACACAATTCCTGGAGTAAGAGAACACAGACGTTAACACCAAAAATAAATACCACTTTGATGTTTAACATGTAAAACTTAACCTGAATAACAACTCCGATTCCATAGAAATCAGAGCACCAAACATTTGGAAAAACCTTTCTGAGGAATCAAAAAGCTCCCTATTTCCTAACAGCTTTCAAAACATTGGTAAAGGATATCTCTTGAGCTTGATGTAATACTTCATGCAATGGCCACAAGCATCACTGTCCACCGACCATAATTATCTACAATGTAAAACGCATATTAAACCACTATCTTATTTATTTACCTTCCAATGTAATCTCAATTCATGCCGTATTGTCACACAAAGGCTAAATTTACATGCTAGTTCTAATATTAAGTAGTTCGTAAGGTCTAGAATTAGTCTGCCCGAAAGCTTCATATAACAAAGGGTTTTTCTTAGAACATATATAATATAACCTTAGAACTCTTGCAAAGTTATACAAACAACACGATAACTTCCATATGTTATGAAGAATTTAATATTCTTATTTCGATTTGACTAGGCACACGGGGCAAATAACTAGACAAATTAATCTTTACCCTAACTCGCTAGTGACCCCAATTACTGTATAAAATGTAATTCGCGGCAACAATGGGGCCTGTCACGACCGACGGATTAAGTCAACAAATCTTTGTTTCAGTGTTATATATTATCGTGGAGCAGGAGCACAGGTGTAGCAATGACATCTGTCTGACTCGGGTTCGAAGCCATAATAACACCGTGTTTGCACAAACAAACTTCATCCTTAACCAAGGAATGTCTGGCTGCGAATAACAAACAGCCCTTAAAACACTATCCCAGGATATCCATGAAAATCTTTTCCCTTTCTGCCTATAAATATGAACATGTAAATAATGAGATGAAATGAGTCCAAACAGGAGTAAGTTAGTAGCGAGACCTGGCCTTGATATCAACCCCTAAGCTTGACAGACACTGACTCAACTGTTAGCAGAGTACACAGTGGAGCGTCTCGGGTCTTATTACACCCACCTCCCACCCACACTACGCCCACCACCACCCTCACTACACACCCAACCGCCCACACTACATGAGCCATCCCTTGCCTCACCCCTTGATTCCACACTCACAACTACAAAATAATCAGCAACATTACAATTTATCGATAATTTTAACGAATTCTAGCAGTCAAATTAAGGGAAACCTGAGCACAGGTTTGAGGTAAGTTAAATGATTACATTTGCTATATAAAAAAAATAGACGGACTTCAGCATACGTTAGTTACTCGTACTGCAATTTTTATGTTTCATATCGTCTTAATGGAACTCAGGGCACTAAAAAAATCAGGGAACTAGAACTAGAAGGGACTCACAGGTTAAGGACCCACCAGGGGCGAGGGGGAAGTGGGGATAGGTGAAGAGTCGGGGCTAAACCCAACCGCAAAGCATTTTAAAGCTTATATCAGGTGTGAAAGAATGCATCCGTTTCCGCTCTCTAACGTATATCATCTGCAAGACTATGAACGTAAATTGGGAAAAAGGTGGGAGGTAAATTTCTTCCTTCCCCATCTTCGAAAGCTCTCCACTCCTAAAGTCTATGTCCCCCCATCTGTTGTTCTATTAGCGCTCCATACAGGGCTGAGCAGGTACACCTACTGGGGTATCAACAAAAACTTCACAAAGCTCGAGTGAACCACTTTCGCCCACCGAACACTCAAGACCCGTACAAAAAGTGGGCCACTGAATCTGTGCGCATCCCCATTATTATACATTTGAGGTCGTCGACTTTATGTAGTTTTACTCTTATTCCCGTTTTCCTTTTTTTTCCGTCTGGCGTACCTCATGAAATTCAGATTATCTTGCAATGGTTGTCGAATCTGGTACCATAAACTATTGATGCAGTTTCAAGAAGTAAGATAATTATTATTACTAATTTATTAACTATTCTTAAATTATTATTATTTATGGAAAAGTGCTAAACCCATAAGGGTTATCCAGCGACAGGGAGAATGAAAGGTAATCAGGTTTAGTTTAATGAAAGGTAATTCCTTTAATCAAGCGTACTCTACTGACATCACAACACACCTTTCAACAAGAATCCCACGAAGTGAATACATAGTGGAAGAGTCTGACAAGAATTCGTGTGATCAAGTGCATCTTTGCTCTTCTGGAATACAGGAAGCCAGGTACTTTTGCCACTGCCACTGCCACTGCATGTTTTGTCAGGAAAATGTTTCCTGACATCTGTCAAAACAGATGATAAAGCTCTTGCGTGAGCGAAATGTCGGAAATTACTAAAAGTTCCATACTGCTTATGTGTCACATTTACATAATTAGTGTAGCGACAATGAATAAAGTGTGCTAGTTTATGACTGGCAACCTTATTTCTATAAAGTGGAGCACAGTATACAACTGCCACAGGATTGATACCATGTTGGTTGTTCCTGCAAGGAGTGGACCAGCAAAACAGTAAAAGGCCTCGGTCAAATAGCTTCAAGAACCACTAAGTCATCTTATGAGTAAGGCCAGCGCCAGCAGAAATGTTCTCATTTCACCTTACAAATTACAACTTCTAATCTTTAAAATACCCCTAAAAATTCTTTGATGTTGGTGAGGGGTTCTTGATCAAAGGAACTGGCTCGGTTCTCCCCTTCCTTGGATCGAACTTGATTACTTCCCATTGCTTAGGTGCTATATAACCCCTATAAGTTTGTCACTTCCCCTAAATATAATAATAATTTTAAACTAGGGATCAAATAAATTCTGAATTTATATACATTGAGGTATATACACTTCTCTGAATTTATTAGCCCCTCTCCGTTTAATGGCAGGAAAGGTGGACGGACTTTGCTCCAAAAAACCCGGTCGAGACGGCTACACCCTAGCAGCCGGCGACCTGTTGGCCCACGAAACTGAAAAAAAAACCCACTCCCCCCCCCAAAAAAGGGGGTTTGGCGCTCCAATTACAATACCATTTACGCAAAAACGGATGAACCGGTGTTCAAAGGCATTGGGCTGGGTGTTCCAATACCGTTTAAGGTTTGAAGCCTATCAAAAGAGGCATTCTGTAGTTATTGAGCGCAAACCAATTTAAATAAAATCAGCACATTCACTGATACAACGCAAAACTAAGGCAAAACTTGCATTGAGCAAAGCACCCGAGCTACAAGTCTGAAGCCAACTAGAAGATACATTCTCCATTTATCGTAGAGAATCCAACAATTCCAAATTTATATCAGTGTTAGTTTAGCTCAAGGAGTGGCGGAGGCTCCAGCCTCCATCCACCAGTCGAGGCTGTTAGTGACTAATATTATATACAATGCTAAGAAATATCATGAATTCGCCATTTAATGTCCGGAAAAGAAATAAAATAGGGTACGCCAACAATGGAAATTCCTTGGCCGTAGAGCTAGCTAAGTCGACACGGGTAGAGGATACTGCATCATTGTCGCCTTCCCCCCGCATTCACCCACAACACTCACCACACCCACTCACGTTCAACTCTGACCTTTTGTGGGGTCACGAAGTGCTTAACGTAACTCGTAATGCCGTCAAAACCACTGGATAATTATTATATACTCGGAACAGTTAGATACGATGACAACAGCTTAAGAGATCAGACACCAAGCTGTTGTTACCATACGTAAAATTGAGCTTTCGCCGCTTCTTGTTATGAATGAGCCACTCGGGTCATGAAATACAATCTGAACATTTATTTCGGGACCAAGTGAGTGGATTGTATCATCCTAGTT